TTCTCACACTCCCCAATCTCGTACAGGTCTAGAGTCAACGGTATCCTCAGTCAGCAGTCATTGCCAGGTAAGACTCTGGGGGAATGGAATAAATATCAAATTTTTTGATTGGCTGTTTGTGTAACAAGAATGAGACTCGTGGAAGTGACCAGAATCCCAGATTTCTGGGATGAAAATATTCCATTCCCCCAGAGTTCCACCTGGCGACGACCAACCGCTGACTGAGGAGACTGTGGACTCTGGGTACGAGATTGCACACTCCCTTAAATGGTAGATGTGGTCCCCAGGATATATGCTGTTAGGGAGTTTGTTATACATTATTTTATTATTTATTTTGGACATTGATTATTTTTACTGAAAACGTTTAATTTTGCTCAACTATTTAGTCCTGTATGCCTGCTGCTCCACTACAAACCCTTGGAGTGCATGTGGTTCTTAGTTATCTCCACTTTCAGGTTGGTGATCATCATCTTATTTCTCCTTACAACATCAATACATTTTCAAGCAGACAGGTGATGAGAATAAAGAAAATCATCAAATTTATAGGAGACAGATTTTCAGGTTCAGGTCAGAAACAACTAAACGGGTATCAAGGTTCACGGAGTCATGAAAAGTCCTTGAATTTCAAACAATCCTGAATAGTGATTGAATTTGCCCCCCAAAACATTTTAAAATCTTAGAGCTAAATTATTTCTATTATTCCTGTCCTTTCTGGGTACAAATAAATGGTTGTTGTTGTTGTTGACCAAAAATATCCCTGATGGTCTAATTAATAATAATAATATCTAGCGTCATAGGTCCGAAAAGCGTGCAAAGATGCTGTCTAGCATCATAGGGCTGCAATGTGTGCGAAAACGCCAGATAATATTATTTGATGGCTGTGGCAGAACGTTGAATGTTAAAAACTGGTTTATTGGTTTGCATGACTTTTTGGCTAATAATTAATAGAAAATAAAATCTGCGCTTTCTTGTATCTTGCATTTCAACAGGCCAACTCTCTTAGCCATGCACAGCACATGTTTCCCAACCAACAGGTTTTATATTGCACTTCATGTATTAAAACAAGTGTCAGTATTAATTAACTGTTTTTATTATTTGTAGCATGTGGCCGTTACTACTGAAGGATGGTCTGTCTCTACCCTATATTTCCTGTATGTTGTTGTTCTTTGCTGTTGGTTATCATGTGTTTGACCTGGGAAGGACTAAGCCATTAAAACAAACTTTGGTATGATGTAATACAATTTTATTGTTGATTTGTTGTCATGCCTAAAGTTGCCTAGTCTGCGAATGCAAACAAATGTTTTTGGGCAGCGTGAAACAACAGCCAGAAATACATTACGTTTGCTAAAACTGAAATGTCAACACCTAGCAAAGACATCTGGGACAGACAGAAGTGCTCAACATTGAATATTATTGTTAAGGTGGGGGTGGGTGGTGGGGGGTGGGAAGTCTACAGGAGATGGGAGAAGAGAGATTGCGGGAAGCAGGACCCCAAGGTGGAAGAAACTCAGGGAGAAATAGGAAATTTTTTCTTCAACACTGTGTAATATTTTGCAATAGAGAAAGTACAATTAATTGATGGGAGGTGGGAACTGGAAGTACAACATACAGGAAGTTCAGACACCCTCCACTAGGTGATTAGTCTCCTTCACACAACGCTTACAGGTGATGAGAACAGAGAAAATCAACAACTGGGGACATTGTCAATATGTACCTTGACACTCTCACAACTAACATAAAAAGAACAGTATGGCAATCGGTAGAGAGAACTTATTGTTTTAATCCTTCCATTCCCACTCTACCTTATTAGGCAGCTAACAACAATGTTTAGGCCTCATTATGTTCTTGTTTCCAATCTTTTTCAGTTTATTCTGTCAGTGATCGGAGCCCTGGGTCTACACACTGGATCAGCTCTTGTTCAGCCCCCCAGCCGGTACCCAGACCTCTGGCCAGTGCTCATCTCACTCTACTCCTGTGCTCATTTCTTAGCATTTTTGTTTTATTTTAATTACCTTCAGTTTACTTTACCATATACAGTAATGCCTGTTGTAGCAAAAGAAAAGAAATCTTAGGTGGCAAATTATTGTTGAGTACTGGGTTGATCTTGTTACAGGGCTACAAATAACAGTCGGTCATCGGACAATGGCCAACCAAAATTTGCCAATGTCTGATGAAATCCCAACTGTGGTCGGACACTAATGTCCGGACAATTTTTTTGCCTTCCAATGCAAATGCTAACGAGTTTTATTCTAAACGCAAACTACATGTAGTTTACTCTGCGATGACAACACATTAAATTAGCAGGTACGCTTATCAAGCAGTACTGTAATATGATGTCCAACCTCATTTTTGTTTTGTCCGACCAAAATGGTGACTTAGTCGGACACATGTCCTTTCAACAAAAAATATATATTTGCAGCCGTTGTTAGGCATTGTTCTCGCACTGATTTTTAGATACTCAGGGGCTATAGTCCTTATGCGTATTTACATCAGACAAACTGTTTTCACCCCCATTAACCTCGCTTTCGAAGTAACGAACAAATTCCCAAAGCAACAAAGATGAAAAGAATACCCATGGGAAAAGTATTGAGGTGCCAGAGGTTTGAGAAGGATTTTGTTTAAACAAGGCTTTGGGGTGAATTTTTAGCAACTGACATAGTCATGCATACACGTAAGGCCTATTCTCAACGAAGGCTACCACCCAGACATATTTAGGGGTGGCGAAGGGTCTTTAAAAAATAAGGGTCTCGCAAAATTTTAGTGTTTTTTGAGCGGTTCTGTACGTCTCACAGTCTCGATTTTTTTTGCAAAGCCGTTTTGGAGTCTCAATCTCAGTCTCGCAATCTAAGAACTCAAAAAGTCTCGCTCTCACAGAGAAAAATGCCAGTCTCGCCATCTTGCATTTACCATTCGCCACCCCTATATTTGTTTCTTAAATGGTGAATGACTTGTATCTGAAGTGCAGTTGCTGCTCAAAAACTATATAATTTGCAATTTGGAGTACTGAAATGACAGTATAACGCCATCAAAATGATTTGACTTTTGACACTGTAAACTGGCTGACTATTGGTAAACTCGCAATCTGATTGGCTAAACAGGCAACTACATTTATATTGTACTATCAATCAATAAAAGGGTCTTGGAGCGCACATACATTTTTTTGTGCATTACAGCCAAAAGGTAGCAAACAAAACCATCAAAAAGTCAGTTTTATCATGAAAATTGTATGTTTAATAGATCAGCCACTGGGTTATGCTAAAACAATAATATTATTATTATTATTATACTGTGTGGCATGAAATTTTTGCGGGAAATAAGTTTCGTTTTCCAACGATCCGCGAAAATTAGAACCCATAAAATAAACTCCTGCGTAAATTAAAATTATCTCTTTATTTAGAGTGCTGGATTTCAATTGAATTGACTGCAAACAATATTACAAGTACCGTAGGTAAAATACCGGACAGGAACCTGCCCGAGATTCGCGAAAGTTTGCTTCCAGTGGTAAGTCTGAAATCCTAATTCGCAAAAATTTGTTCCTGCGAAACACAAAAAGTCGGCAATCCGCAAAATTAAACTCCCGCGAAAATTTCATGCCACATGGTAATTATTGTTTTAGTTATTATTATTAATTAAAATTTAGAATGCTTGCTCTCAGTTTCTATCGACTTTGATAGTTGATAGAAACCTTGAGCTCGTAGTATTGTTAAATAGTAATACTTGTAAATGTTTAGCCCTGATTATTTGTGTTGAATGACTTTAATGGACAACATGAAAAAACCCGAGTACCTTACTGTCTATATAAAATTAACAATATTATACCTTTACTGCTGAATAATAAATAGTAGAATAAATAAAATGATTTGGAGTAGTGTTGTTTTGGTTGATCTTTGAATGAAGATATAAAGGCACTACAAGATCCAAACTGTAAACATATCAACATGTTTACAGTTTGGTGCTTGCAAGTCTTTAATCTCAAGTGTGATCAACAGCTATACTCTCCTGACAATAATTATTCAAATGTTCACATCATCAAGCAGACAGCTCACAAGGAAACAAAGAAACATGAACTAGGGAATGAATATTATTTTGATGTAAAAAAAACTTAAAGTGCCCATAACCTTTTTATTTTATTTTCTCATCTGAATCTAAACATCACCCAAGGAAATTCTGCGAAAAAAATTTGCGATTTGAAGAAAACGCGAATTGTTTATGAATTTTATAAAACTTTCAAATTTGCCGCCATTTTGGATCACCATTTGCTTTAGTCTCCCCTGGGTCCTTCTCGGTTCACAAAGGATCTGTGACATAGATTAAGGAACACGTGACATCAGACAAAGGAACTGTGACGTAGATTAAGGAACACGTCGCTTAAAAACAAAGGAATTGTGACGTAGATCCAGGAAAATGTGAGCCCGTCGGCCTTCTTACAGCGGGACGGGTATACCAAACAAAAATAGGATTTTGAAGATTTGAAACATTCATAAAAAATTCGCGTTTTCTGCAAATCGCAAAATTTCTTCGCAGAAATTCCTTGCGTGATGTTTAGATTCAGATGAGAAAATAATAAAAAAAAGGTTATGGGCACTTTAACATCTGTCACACTGTAGCATGAAAAGCCACAAGGAAAAAAAAAATTAAAAAAATGACTTTATTTAAGTGTTGGTGTAATTAGCACTGTAGTACAAATATTGTGCAAATGAAGAAACAAATTTGCAAATTGAACATAAACGTTTTTAAGAATCCCAACTGGCAGGAGGCTAACCAGTTGGCTATTTACAAAGCGTGGCCGAGGAGTTGAGCTCAGGACTACTGAGAACAAATCCCAGCTAATGGTAGCTAGGATGCTGACTCGTCCCCAGTCGTCTCTCTCTTGTCTCCTATTAATATTAAGCGTGGCTGAGGGGAGCACAAGGGGTGATGGGAATTTTCTTCCTTCCCAGCATCCCCCGCGTCTTGCGACTCCCAACAAAGGATGCAAGAGAGACGACTGGGGACAAGTCAGGCTAGGATGCAGGATTTGAACCTGGGTCCTCCAGATTTCAAATCCAGCACCCTAAACCACTCAGCCACGCTGCCTTCCTTGGAATTATTATTGCAATTCCCCTGGATGGGATGGCTAGTCCATCGAAGGTAACCAAACAATTTTTTTTTTTTTTTTTTAATGATTTCACACTTTATTCACAAATACAAACATAGTTACATTTCACTGAAAAAAAAACACTACTTTAGTACTACTTACCATTTCTGGGCAGAGAGAGCACTGTGAGAGTAAATATTTTGTCTTGCCCAAGAACACAGCACAATGACCCCAGCCTTTCAAACCCTACCATTAGGCCTATATTTTGATACATGTGTGGGTCATTAAATTCTCAGAAAATTTTTAACACACTAAAATAAATGTATGGCAATTAATAAACTTAGACAATAAATAAAGTTTGACCTCAGGACTGAAAGGGTACAAGGGGCTTGAGCAATCTTGAAATGATTTACAACTAACTTGATACTAGTTACATGTATAAATTAATTTTTTAAACATGCTTTAGAGTTTACCACTCCAAATTGTCACATGATTTGAAACAAGCCCCCCCCCCCCCCCCCCCCCTCCCACTGTCCCCCTCCTTTCAAGCCTCTCACAAGAGGCCTTGAAAATAAAATAATTAATCCCAGGCCTAATATACTGTTAGCTTTCTTTTGAAAGCAACGTACTAACATCACAACTAGTTTTTGTGTGGCTTGCACACCAAGTGAAGTAAACCACTCTATGCTGTCGGACTGATGTACTAATACAAGAACATGTGGAGTTTTTGTATGCCATATATTAAGTTATTTTGTGTTCTTCACACAAGCAGAATTGCACAGTTACACACTGTTGGTGGTTTGCATCAATGTTACCAAGACTGTTCGCTTGCATGAACAATATCAGAAAATTAACAGCTTATAGAGCAGGCAGAAAGAAACGTTCTGTCCAAATTATAGCTTTGTAGCGTTTTTCATAACCGAGGTATTACGAAAATAATTTTCAGAAAATTACAGTATTTAGTATGCAGCCGCCATGTTGGTGCCCTTCTTTGGGACACCAATATGGCGGCCATAAAACTGTACATGAAGTAGAGTAGATTCTACCATCAATATCATTAGCTTTCACTTCAAGACTCTTTAGATATCACTTCTAAATTATTATCACGTATAAAAATTTAAAAATGACATAAAAATACCCGTTTTTGTGACAGTTCAAAAATACGTTCATCCGGGACATATTTTATTTTCGAAACGAAGCACTGAATCGATACCAAACTTTGCATAGAGATTAATGTTTTGTATGTTTAGAATATGTGAAAAGAACAGCTTTGTAGAATTAACAGTTTAGATTTTAGAATTTTGATGACGTCAGATGCAAACCAAGAATAGTTTTATCTGAGAATAATCAGAAAGGTCTATGTACCCTCTAAATCACAGTACCGGTAACTAAGATTGAATTATTATTACTTAACATTAATAAATAAAATAATGTTGTATTTATTATTTTGACCTCGATGAAGTTAACGGAACAAAAAATCCCAACAAGATCTACCCAAAGTCATTTTCATGTAATGGTAATGATAATGGTATTTATATAGAGCATTTTCTATATGGATATATTCAAATGCGCTTTACAATTCAACTCGGGTGAGATCAGACGTCAGCATGTAAATGTATGAGTAACTTACATTAGCTTATATATATTGTGTGCATTTCAGTTTACTTTATAACTGACGATGGATGTTGTACATTTAAAAGTGTCGTTGTCTTTCTTAACATATTTACTTGTTTATTGCTCTTTCGCAATTTTGGAACTTATTGAAAATATATACTACAGCTGTATGTGACTTTGCCACAAGGTTACCATGACAACTTATTCTTATCTGAACATGCTAATAAAAATAAAATAAATAAGATTGGATAGTTTTAGTTTATTAGATTCCAGAAGCCAAGGGCATTTAAATAGTTTAAATATTGTATTACAGCTTAAATAAATATTACATGTACATCTAAGTTCAAACTATTTTTGTTTTTGAGACAAAGTTTCTGTTGTTAAGTCTAAAGGAGACATTGTATTCTTACAAGTATAGATGTAGACTTAAAAACCCACATAAATTGTGGTGATTAATATTAATACCAATATTAAGAAAATAATGCTCTGCATTCTTTTTTGGTTAACTTATAACCATTTTATGCAATGCATACATAGAGCTGCTTTTGCAAAAATATTTTGTACCGTATTGATTGAAGTGAGTGCAAATAGGTCAATATCATTAATTTTAACAAATCTGTAGCTTGATCTTGAGCTAAACTTAGCCAAGCTATGCATGAAGATGCATTTGAGGAAACTACCACTAAATTATTTATTAAGTACTAACAATTTTATTTTAATTAATCTATTTTAAAATAAATTAATGTTAATTGTTGTAGCTATAATTTATTATTAATAGCGACGAGCCTGTCATCAAACACGGCAGTTCTGAACATTGAATGTTACAATATCATGAGCACCAATTTCTACAAAGAGAAAAAAATAATAATAATAATAATTATTTAAATCTGTATGGCATAGTGTCTTTTTGTAGATAGTGCAGTGTACTGAGATTTCTATGAAAATGGAAGTAGCAATGGGTCAATTTTAAATCGAGATGAACAACAGAAATTAATATGGATGACAACAACAACATTGATGTCTGAAGATGAAAAATTAATGATGATGATGACGACGATTACGATAATTATGATAATGATGTCAGATGAGGTTAATGATAATTTGATGATACAATGACGATGATTGACGACAATGACAGAATTGGTTATTGGTACATACACTAACCTTCTAGTTTGTCTAGTATGTGATTCTCCTCATGTTGAAGTATCAAGGATTGAACAGCAACCCAGTCATCATTATCCAAAGGAGAAAGTGTCGCAGAACTCTGAGAAAAACGAGATACATGTAAAAAATCAAGTGACTTAGTACTAAAAAATACTGATTGTAGCATGATCTGCAGAGCAATAAATTACATGTAATCAAAATGTATAGGAAAAAATTGCTATTTAAGATATACAACATTCAATCAGAAATGTTTTTCTTACCTTTCCTGGAGTTATTTTCAGTCCTTTTGCAAGATTTGTTCTTTCCACATTGTATTCAACCATCACATACCTAGCCAGAAAAATAAACAAATTAATGAATAAAATAATATTCAATAAAGAAATAAAATAATAAATGAATATAATTTATAATAAAATTATAATACTAATGGATAAACAATTATTATAATATTATTACAAATTGCATGTACTAAATAAAAAAAATTGAAACACAAAAGACTTTCACAAACTTGTTTGCATTAATGATTCCCTCAAGTCTTGACTTCACAGTCTTAATCACATCCTGTAAAATTTAATTTATTTTAAATTAAATAGTAAATATGGTGGTTTATTCACTGTCAGAGTAATAACATGTCAGGGGTGGATTTAGGGGTTGTAGTAAACATACCTGGAAGTGAGTATTAGGGTTTGCAATCAGCACAGCCTGTAAACAGGAAGTAAGTAAGTAAGTAAGTGATGACTTAATTTTTTTTTTTTTTTGAGTAAGTAAAGACTTTATTGAGTATTATGATTACTTATGCTACTTTATACAATTGGATGCTCTACTTTACATACAATACGATACTTAATGCCAAGTAATACTTAATGACAAGAAGAAGTTAGAGTTGGTTATTTCCCAGTGGTATAATATATTAACTGAATAAACATCTTAAACAAGAAGTTCCGGTATAAAAGGGGCCTGGCCTGGCCATTCTCACACCTAGTTGTAGATCATTCATCAAAGCATAACAGCTGACAAACAACATGCGCTTTTTGTACGGCCGTTGCTGATAAATTTGTTTCATTTTTCTAAGAATGTTCTGTTAAACATTAGCAAGTTATATCTTATTTTTGTTGATGATAATTTATACATGTATTTTGGTTTCATTAGATTTTGAAGCATGTTTAGTTTGCAGGACGCTTGACTCAACAACGTGCCACGACTGCAAGAGTACAAATTTGCATTTCGCACCCGAAAGGTGTGAAATGTGGGAGGTGCTATCCCTTTTATAGCGGAACTTTAACATTCTGATAACATTGCAGGAGAAGGGGACTGGATGTTTAAAACACTCACATTATAAGAACAGGATTATTATTATTTTTTAAATATTTTGTACTAAAAGGTTTACTGTACCTCCGTCTCCAAAATCTCAGATACTACTTCTAAGCCAGCTGCTCGCATAGTGTCCCCTGTTTCAACAAGATCAACTGAAGAAAAAAAAATTATAACTTATCCTGCTGGTTGATCAGTTACAGTCGAACCTCCGCTAACAGACACCTCCCGTAAGTGGACACTTGGTCATGTTCCCAGCTACATACAAACACTACATTTTTAACCTCCCATAACCGGACACCTCTCTTAGTGGACACTATTTCTGGTCCCAAGGGTGTCCGTTTATGGGAGGTTTGACTGTATAATTTAATTAAAAAACTGATGTTCAAAAAAGACAATTTGCACATTAACAATAATTGATTTAGCCATGGTTTAATGATTTACTTTTCTTCCTGAATGAGTTATGGAGAAGTTGAAAAATGGTAAAAAAAAACTTCTCAAACGCAGTAATAATAATTATTATTACTGCGTTTGAGAAGTTTTTTTTATTAAGCAAGTTAAAACAAAGGAAATCGTAACTGTGTTGGAGGTTTGGATACCCTGTTTTAATTAGCATAGATTTTTACGATTTATTTCTCCGTTTACTCCTTAGTTTTTGTTTTGATTGAGAAGATATACATGTATCAAACACTTGAGACAGTGTTTCATCCGATTTCCAATCACCTTGAATTTCATCAAAAATACTCTGCTGCACGTCATATTTTCAACTTTATTCTTGGTGTTTGGATATCCTGATGAAACACTGTCTCGAGTGTTTTACATAATTTTTTTTTATTATATCCAATATGCTGTGGAATTTTGAACTATTGTTCAAGACCAAAATTCAGAAAAATAACTTGGTTGCACGCCT